CCACGTGGGCGATCCGCGTGCGCGCGATAGGACGGCCCATATCCGTTCCCGCGCGCACGGACGGCCCAGATCAAACATGCGCACGGACGGCCCATATTTAATCCTAATTAAATCGCCATCGAACGGTCCAGATTTAATCTTGATGGACGGTTGAGATTAAAAGGCAAAGGGTATAAATACCCCCACCCACACCTGACCAAAGAAACCCTAGCCGCCAGTGCTCGCTGGAGAAGAAGAACCAGACGCCGGAGGAGCCGGCCGCCGCCACCCGCCGCCGCACCGGGGAAGTTTTCGACTGCCGATCGAGGTAAATTTTCTCTCCCTTGCTCGTTTTTCGACGCTGAGTCCACCTGTGGCCAAACTGGAGCCAAACCACCGGCCAAACGGCCGGAAAACCCAGTCGAAACCCAGCGGCGTCGCTGCGCCCCTCCTCGGTTTTTGCCTCCGATGAGGCCCTTCCCGGCCTCCGTTTGATACAAATTTTATACCACTGTGATCACCGTTCTTTTCTCTATAGGTTTATCAGAGCTAAACATCAAAACGCGACTCACACCGGAGGAGCCGCCGCACCCGAGAGCACCGCCGCCGGTAAGTTTCGATTTTTCGGCCCACCGAGAGCCCTAGGGTTGTTCTATCGCAGGGACCGATGCAAGCGTGGCCGAATTCGGTTGAAAACGGCCAACCCGAGGCGAATTACCGCCGCAAGCGGCGGTGCCGTCGCCGGAGCACGGCGGAGCCGCCGTGCCTGAATTGCGATATGGGAAAAATTCAGAAAAAATTAGAAACAGCCTGTAGGCGCACTGTAGAGCCGTATTCAGACCCCGAAACAAGTAAGGACCCATCACCCTATTTCCTATCACGGTATTAAAGTTCAATAAATGATAAAACGGTATTTTATGAATCAATAGATGTGTGAAATTATTTAAGGTCGCTAATGGAGCCCGAGTCTGGTATATTTGTCGGTCAGTGTGTTTGTTCTATTTTACAGTTTTAAATGTAGTATGATGTCTGATGTTTTCATTTCATAGTTTCATGTGCATATGTCACTGTTTTATTGACTATGGGTTGAATGACTAAGAACCCGATGTTGTGTGTTGTCTTGTTTGGCATAGACTACTGGTTTGCATGTTTGTGTGTAATTGATGATGGTGACTGAGGAAAAAAAAAGAATAAAAGGTTACGTGAATTGATAAATGGATAATGTGGACAGCCTGACTAGATATCCTGGAGATGGTGGACGGACCGGGTCCATAGGGAACCCTACCGGGAACGTGGTCTCTCATACCGGACGAGGGTATTGAGATCATTGATTTTTGGTGCCCATACCGGACGGGGTATGGGGGACGACTTCTGGAATCAGGTTATAAATGTTAAGGGTTCACGGGTAGCGGGACCCCTATGGATCCCCATGGATACTAGTAGGCTGGTAAATGAGGAAAATGTATTGTTTAATGATTGAAAATACAAAGGCGTGGTAAGTATTATGTTATACAGTTCATATGATTTTCATGATGATGATAATGTTATTGTTTTCATATGTTGTTTTATGGATCTCACCGAGATAAGTGGACAGTAAAGGTTTTTATGTTAATAAACGAGTTTATTATAAATTATGCTCCATTGGTCTTTTTGTTGTTTTCTACCCACCTTTACCTCCGTGGCGGTGAGATAGTGTGATGTCTTTACTGGGCTGGTGTAGCTCATTCCTTATTTAACCATTTCAGATCAGGAAGACATTGTTCCCGAGTCCGTTCCGCAGGAAGACGACGAAGGGGACGCCTAAAGACTCCGTAGTTATATTTATAGTTCTTATTTTCGAGTATCTCTTTTAGTTAGTTTGTTCTTCTATATTTTGAGCACGTTTTTAGTTTTTGTGTAAGGGATGTTAATTAAAATTTTTATTACGCTTCCGCATTTGACATTTTATTACGCTTCCGGGGCCGTTACAGTTGGTATCAGAGCCGCGTTCCTCGGACCCATCCCTTACACAATAATGCTTAGAGAAATATTCACCGATAAACCATTACTCAACCATTCCTTATGAAATGCAGGTGCAGAGAAATAAGGAGAGGAAGACCCCCACTAAACCGAGCGGCCCAGGATAATTTACTTCGAGAGGATGTAGACAGGCTATTTGAGATGATGGAAGGATTCATAGCTGCCCAGCAAGGGCGAGAGGAGAGAAGGGAGTTACACAACCCTCCTCCACTACCGCAGGTTGAGCCTCCGCTACAGCAGGCTGATCCCGAGCCACCCCGGCACGAGTCTGCTCCTCCACAGTACCACCCGGCACCACTACCGCAGTACAACCCGGTGCTCCAGCCACGGTACTACCCGGCACGGCCATAACACGACCCAGTGCCCTCAGCATATCAGCAAGTGCCACCAAAGGACCCCCCAGTCTATCCCCAGCCGGGTCCAGTCCTTCCTCCACGGGACTCCGCTCATTCCTTGATCGACCCGGGCTACATAGAGAGGTACAGGAGACTGAACCCCTCCACCTTTGCAGGGGGATCCTCTTTTGAAGAGGCCCAGTACTGGCTGGCGGAGACTGAGAGAGCTTTCAAGATCTTGGGAGTAGTCCCTGAGCAGAGAGCTGCCCTTGCTTCCTTCATGCTGGTAGGGAAAGCAGGACGTTGGTGGGAGCTAAAGCAGGCCACCCTGTTTACACCAGTCACTTGGGAGCAGTTCCTAACGGCCTTCCATGCAGAGTATCTCCCTGAGCACATCCGACACCTAAAGGAAACGAGTTTGTTCAACTGGTTCAGGGAAACATGACAGTATCAGAGTATGCTTGTAAGTTCCTCGAGTTGGGCCGATACTCCCCGGAGACATTGATGGATGAGGGCTAAAAGGCCAGGAGATTCCAGTCGGGTCTCCGTCAGAGATCAGGCAACACTTGGTAGTACTGGAGCTCAAGACATATTCAGCAGTCCTAGCAAAGGCACAGATAGTGGAAAGAAGCTTCAGCACCCATCCTCAGCCAGGAGGGAATTCCCGACTCTCAGCTCCGTTCCGCATGCCAGCACCCACGGCGCCTGCCCAACCAAACAAGAGGCTCAGACCAGTCATCCAGGCCCCTCCTCAGGCTCCAGGGGCAGCACGTGGGAAAATTTGTCAACACTGCGGCAGAGATCACGGGGACCGACCCTGCTACCGCCTTAACAACACTTGTCGCATTTGTGGCAGTGCCCAACA